TGTCTGACTGCTGGCTTAGGCCCGCTTTCCCTGGATGTCAGTCAGACATCCCCTAAGAGCTCCCGGACTGCAAGAGGGTGCAGGCCAGGCTGAGGGACTCCCCCCCCGCCCCTCGAGTGTACGAATTTTGTGCACTGAGCCTCTAGTAGATTGATAAAATGTGAAACCTTAGATAACTACAAATACTGAGAAAAGTAAAAATTATAAGACCTTTCTTTGCTTGGAGTCTAAGAGTATTTCAATAGTCTATCCAGCTGACCCATATGTTAAAAAGTTTATATCATGTGGCAAAATGATAGATAATACCTGGGCAGTAGAGATCGTTTTGACTTACAGGAATTGGGGAAGAAAAACTCACTTTTGGTTAGGGTTCTTGTGGAAGGATTTTTGAGGGAGAATGAATTTGCTCTGAATTTTTCTCACATTAGTAGGACTTATATAAACAGTTGTTAGTGAGAGTGGCATTATCTGAGTGTAGGTCTGTGGAATACAGGAAGTTAACTAGCTTGCTGGAGAGGAGGAATCTTCTAAGGGTGTGATGTGGAGTATGATGCACCACCTAGCTTGGTTAACCTCTGATGTACTAGTGTTCTGCAAGTGTCATTGATAGAAATGTTGAAATATACTAGCAACTTGTTGGATGCTTAATGTTCATTTTTTTGTTGTAAATAAAAAGTTATATAAGTAATCTTGTGTAACATCTCATTCATTCTACATCCTCATTAGATGCTCTTCTATTCTCTCTTTAGATAATTCCACTGATGGGAACATACTGTTTCTTTCTTTAAAAAAACAAAAAAACAACCCACAGTGCTAATTACATTAAAGAGATATTCCCTCTTATTTTAACTTTCTCCAGCAGGTCCTGTTGGAGTTCTAGTCTCTGAAGTGACCTAGAACAAGTCTGCTTTCCCCCTTACCCTAAGCGTGTGAGTCTTCTCACCTCTGAAGATGGGCATCATGTCTTCCTTTAGTCTGCTCTGGTCCAGGCTACATAGCTCCAGTGCTTTGATTTATTCTTTCAGTGATAGCGTTTTTAAACCCCTCTATATCCTGAATGCTATTCTCCAAAATACCCCACTCTATTACTGATACTTTAAAAATTAATTCTTCAAAATTGAATGGAGTATTCCAAATGCCGAAGAAACAGTGAATAGGGCTTTTAGTGATATTTGTACTTATTAGGTTGGCTAGATGAGCAAAGATTGATAAGCCTCCTTTGTGAGTCTTGTCAGTATCTGAATTTTCAGTTGGGTCAGCTTTATTTTTTATGTGAAAAGCACACTGGGGGAGGGGTGACAGAAAAAGTGATGATCATCACACAGATTGTTGTTCGGTTGCTGGTACTGCCAGCTAAGTCCAAGAAAGCAACAACATCATTACGTAGTTTGGCTGTATTAGAATAAGCTCTTTGTGATGTATACATCCATAATAGAGTGGGGTGGAGTGGGATCTTGTTAAAACAGAGATTCCAAATATTTCTAATTGTGAAGGTTTCAGAAACTTAAATCTTTAAAATTAAAAGAAGTGATGGTATTTGATATAATGTTTGATTTTGGTAGTTGACAGCAGTAATTGATTTATTACATCATTCTACTGACATTGCTTTGTGTTTTACACATACACAATACTTTGTGGTTTATTTTTGGACACAACATCAGTTTTATTTGTGTAATTGCCAGGAATGTTAATAAAAATGAACAAGATCACTAACATATAAAATCATCACTAAGTTTCTTCTTCAGATGGTGGCATTCTAAATGTTAGGAATATAATTTGACTTAATTTTTTGGTGTGATTTATTATTTAAATAAGAAATGAGCATAAGCCAGATGAGTAAAAAGAAGGAAGTGAGTAGCTTATTCATAGATGCAACCAAATCATTTGTTGCTTCCAGGCTGTCCTCTTCCTAAAAAGCACATCCATCCATGTTGGTCCACCTGGGCTGTTAACATCTTCAGTAACTAGACAGTCACCATGTGGGAAGCAGCATTTGTTGCAGGCAGGACTCATCAACGGGTGCTAAGATTTGTGGGTGAAAGTATGGTGAGATATTGTATTTATGTAGTCTCAGTCTCCCCCACAAGAAAAATGTACAGAGGGAAAATTAATAATGTTACAATGGAGAAACCTAGCAGATACAACTGTAACCAAGTGGTCAGAGGTTACCATCCTCAGTAATGAGGCAGGGACATCATCATGTGCCTCTGGTATGACGCACTGAGCAGGGCATGGCATTGCTTTTGTGTTGTGCTTGCCAAAGTGCGTAACCTGAATTTAGTCATGAGGAAGCATTAGACAGACTCAGATTAAGGGACATTCTACTAAGTAACTGGTCAGTACTCCTCAAGTGTCAGGGTCATGAGAGTCAAACTGTCCCAGATTGGAGGAGATGTGACAATTGTATGCGATGTGTGATCCTGCACCAGAAAAAGACATCAGTGGGGCAGTTGGCAAAAAAAGGTTGGCTCTAGATCATTTAATAAATCTTGTTGATGGTTAATTTCCTGGTTTTGATCATTATAACTGATTATATGAGGTGTTAACATTTGAGGAAGCTGGATGAAGGGTAGACAGGAATTATTTGTACTATTTTTGGAACTTTTCGTAAGTCTGAAGGTATTTCAAAAATGAAATTAAGCCACAACCACAATATAAAGTAATTAAACTCAGCTGAGAAACTAAGACTTTCATGCTTTTACCTTGTGACGTCTCTTTTGATTGGTTAGGGGTGATTTTCCTTGCTTTCTAAATCTCCACTGTGATCTGGTTAGCTGAGGTTTCTTATTGAGGAACTTTGGGATAAGTGAGACATTGCAACTACATTTTGAAAGGTTTTGTTTAATTAATTAATTTACTTATTTATTTTTTGTACAGAGCTGTAATTACATCTTTGGGTTTCCAGTGGCTCTGTAGGTTATTTGAGCTTTACTGTTGTAGCCACCAGAATCCCTGACTGGAAACTTAGCCCTGTAATTAATTTACTAGTTTCTTTCTGTTTTTATTATTATGTTCTAAATACAGGTTAATCCCATGAAGTCTGCTATGTGTCATATATTATCAAATTTAGTATTTGTTGGTTGTTGCCTAGGAAGAGCTGATTTTTGTGTAAAAGTATTTTATTTAAAATTGAAATATTATACCACATATCTTATTTTTCTCCCAGAAAAGACAGGTTGGAGTTTTTGTAAATAGAATGAATAAATAAACTTACATTGGCATAAGCACCAAGTGGTGATCTTTTATTGGGTAATAATTAGAATGGGGGAAATTAATACATGGAAAATATTTCTGTTAATGGAAGCAGTTATTAATATATGACTCATAGATTCTTAAATCTAGAAGAAACTTGACGCGGCTGTTTTGACCATTGTGGGAGAGGAAAAGAACATGGACTTGGGAGTCAGGAGACCTAGTTTTGCATCCCACAGTCATTGCTGCTTATTATTGTATCTTGGACAGGTCATTTAACTTTTCTGAGCCTTAAGTTTCTCATCTGTAAAACTGGAATAATAGTAGTGGTTTGCACAGTTATTGTGAGAATTAAGTGAAGTAGCATGCCATGTGCCTGGTCTAACGTGGGCGTTTCATGTGTGCTGGCTCTGTTCCAACCTCCAGCCAGGTTTATAACTAAGCTGTCTGCAATCAATGAGAATCTGCTTTGCCTCTAAAGACTATAAAAAGATGATAGCATATGTCAGTAACTTCTAGTGGTATTTCACAAGTTGTTTCCTAGGGACGGTTCCCCATATCTCTTATTCCAGAGAAATTATTTTCTTTTATATGTTAGCCACATTAGCTATTACTACAAAATCTATTAGACAACTGTCACTCATTTGTGAGATGTTCCTTTGTGTTTTAGTGTTCTTACTGAAATTATCTAATACAAATAGCACATTGAAGTCATTTTAGGAGAAAATATGGTATGAGACAAAGGACAAGAAGATTTACAGACAGTTGGAGGGAAGCATTTTCATGTAATTTTCGGTTTGAGCTGGCATTTTGATCCTCTGAGAGAGACCAACTATTCCCAAAGTTCCAGTCATTGTACCTGTTTCACTCTAGTTTCAAAAGTACTTTCATTTATTCTTCAGTTTCCTGATTTTGATATTGTACTGTTGGTTTGTAAGTGAACATCATTGTTTTTAGGAATTTTACACTGAAGAGTTTAGAGCTGAAGGGGCATGTCTGTAACTTACTCTCAGATGGTTAAGAAAGAGATAATATTTGCGTGTATATGTGTATGTGTATATATGTAGCTATATAGAGAGGAGGAGAGTGGCTGGGAAGAATGATATATTAGCCACGGCAGTGTTAACAATTGGTGAATTTGGGTGAAGGGAGTTCCTTGTGCTTTCTTTATGATTTTACTCTAAGTTTGAAACTATCTCAGAATTACACTGGATTGAGTTATATTCCTGTACCTGAGGAGATCTAAGTGGCAGTTTTGGGAGGGAGGGAGGTTAGAAGCAACTGAGGAAGCATAGAAAGTAAGTAATAAGTGAGTAATTCAGTAAATTCACTGGCAAAAAAATTAGGTGTTCCTTTAACTTATTTTTCTTCAAATTCATTTTGTGTAGAAGGGCCTATGTAGAAAGAGAGGAAGCTGCTGCTGTATCAAAGCAGAGAAAACTAATTGGAAGTGAAATAAGATGAAAAAAGTAAAGATGTTTAGATATGTATTTATAAGACATATACAAGGATAAAAGAATGTATAAGGTTGAAATATTAGTATTTTAAAAATTAAAATGATCTTTTTTCTAACATAGAGGCACAAGTTAGTTTTCTATAATTAGCACTCTACCCTACTAGTTAATTGATCCTATATTTTAAATTGCTCTTTGATTTTAAAATTAACATGTTGTAGTCTTAATAAAATTTTACATGATGTTTATTATCATTTTTTACCCTTCAAAAAGAGTCTTTTAACTAAAAAAGTTTTTCTTAAACCTTTGCCCTTTTCTTTCATGTCAACAATGACATCTCTTTGGGGAACTCAGAAGCCAGCCAAAGGTAAGAGATTTGGTGTATTATGCGATGCTTGTTAAGATCTGGGGTGCATATTTTTGAGGTACTGGCAATTTTCTTCTCAAAAAGTATTTTCTCTTTGCCACTTCAGTAAAAGTAATCAGCCTATTCATAAATCCGAAGCCATTTATTGGCATGAGAGGGACTGGAGCGTTATGGAAAAACTGTATTTGTACTTTGACCAATTATGGCCAGTCTCCTGGCAACAGCAACACAGATTCCTTTTGTGCTCTGGTGTTCACCATGGATTGGCTCAAAACCTGTTGTTCCAATCTGTGGTCAGAACTGCGCTAGGCAGACTCATCTTTGTTGCTCCCAAGACAGCTGGGGACACATTCTCAGGCCAACAGAAACCTGCCCTGGCCCACAGCTTCCTCAGAAGGGAACATGCTTTCATCTTAGATTTGAGCCCAGATTCTAAAGAAACTTCCTTGGGTTGCATCAGTTCCTGTATCTCAGGGAATTTATAGGTGTGCCAAAGTGGGCACCAGAACTATATTTTTGAATTGACCATTCTCTGAAGTTACTTGAAACCTTCCAGGAAATTCAGATTTTTATCTGCATTCTTAGAATTTTTTTTTGAGTCCATAGTTGAATTGTAATTCTATTCTCTATTATTGTTGCTAAAATATGTATAGGCCTGGCTATTTGGGACTCTGAATGATTAAAAAAATAGTTTAATATGGCACTCATTTCTTTATATATGTAAAACTAATTTTATTAGTTTTATGTCATTTTTTTCTATGTAAAGGTGCTGGATTATTATTTTTTTATTGATTTTAGAGAGAGAGAGGAAGGGAGAGGGAAAGAAAGAAACATTGATGTGAGAGAGATCCATTGGTTGCCTCTGCATGCACTCTGACTGGGGATTAAACCTGAAACCTGGGCATATGCTCTGACCAGGAATTGAACTCAAGACCCTTCAGTGTATGGGACAACACTCCAACCAACTGAGCCACACTGGCCAGGTCGGTGTTGGATTATTTTTGTTTTCTTATTTTTTTGTTAGAGCAGGGGCTGGAGATTGCAGTAAAGATGTGAGGAGACATCATATGACTATTTTAAAACTATTCATGTTGTATATTAATGTTTAAAGAAAATGTGTTGATATAAAAACTATGGAAGAACCAACACCATGTTATTAACATTGGTTACCTCTAGGGAGTGGTATGCTTGGTGAATGGGAGGCCTTTATTTTTTACTTTATGCTTCTGTGTTATTTGACTTTGTTATAATGAATGTGTGTTTCTTCTCTGTTACTTGAAAAAAAGTTTTTATTAGAATAGTTAAGGGAAAATGGTTGTTTAGAAAGAAAAGGGCTTGTCTGCTTTAGGAAATCCATGGCTGGAAAATTCTTATAATAATTTATAAAATTGCTTAAACTTAAAGAAGACCATTCAGTGTTGTTAGTAAATATGAATTAAGCGTTCATTAGTTTCCAACGTTGTACCAGGCTGTGGGGCTCTCAAATAATTGGGGGAATAAAGCTCATTTAGCCTCGAAGTAGAGAGCCTACTGGTGAACAGACTGCTGGCTCAAAGGCTGGTTCAACTCCCAGCCCCTCCTCCTGCCAGCTACCAGGTTCTTAACTTCTTTGTACCTCGATGTCCTTTGTACCTCAGTGGCCTAGCATGGACTTATCAGCTATTATTATAGTTACTTTAGTGATAGCTTCTCATCTGGAATTGAGAATAAGAAATTAAGTTGTTTAAGGAATCCCTAAATTAAAAAGAGCAAGAAAAGAAACCAACTCATAATAATGGAAAGAGGACTGCCTTTTAGAGCCCAATCCTTGATAAGTATACAGGTATGGTGATGGACCCTGAGGCGCTCAGGTTCCCAGAGAAGAATCAGGATGGTTCCTACTTAACCTTATTACGAATAGAAGTAAATAAAATGATCAGAGATGAGAGTTGAAAGCTAAAACAGAAGAAACTTAATTTGAGCTTCACATTTTATTTCATCTTAGCCTGGCTGAAATGATTCTCACCCTGGCTGATGAATGTACTTGGAAAAGCAGCCCCTACCTGATATTTTTATACTCAGACCTTGGGGACGACCTTCCACCTTCCTTCTTCTTTTCGTCTTCTCCCTGTTGGAGAATTGCTAACATAGTGAACCATCACCATTATTGATAGATACATGTTTTGCTTTGGAAAAACGTTGAGGATTAGTTGCAGCTGGGTGGTAGCTTCTGGGCTCCAGGGCTCCTGCCTCTTGGGTGTTTTAAGCTCCTGAGCTTCGGCTTGCCTTTCTGGCCTGTGTTTTCCATCACTGCCCCTTCCCAGGGAGTACATGCCTCCTCTGCCTGCTGTTTTGCACAAAAACAGGTGTTCTGATCTTTCCCTTTTTGAAGGTGTTTTTATTTTTATTTCTTTTTAATTAATTAATTTATTTCTAGATACCAGGCACAGAACGATGATGCTCTGGCCGGGCTGTATAGATTTTTTGTACAAATATAGGATCATGGTCTAGACTTTCATAACTTTTATGTTAATATATGAACATTTTCTTATTAGTCTTTTACATCTTAAAGCTATACAAAATTGCACATGGATGTGTAATAATTTATTTAAAGAATCTGCTATTTTATAGCTATTTTCAACTTGCTGTAGTAATCATCTATACATTTTATTTTATTTTTTATTTTTTGTAAGGGAACATTTATTTGGTAAATCACAGAGGTGGAAAAGGAATTCCTAGAAGAAATGGGCTTAGGACAGTGATGGCGAACCTTTTGAGCTCGGCGTGTCAGCATTTTGAAAAACCCTAACTTAACTCTGGTGCCGTGTCACATATAGAAATTTTTTGATATTTGCAACCATAGTAAAACAAAGATTTATATTTTTGATATTTATTTTATATATTTAAATGCCATTTAACAAAGAAAAATCAACCAAAAAAATGAGTTCGCGTGTCACCTCTGACACGCGTGTCATAGGTTTGCCATCACTGGCTTAGGAAAACAAGCTTTAGAGGTAAAGGAAGGGCTATGGAGCTTGGGAGTGAGGAAGGTGCTTGGGGCAGGGAGGAAGAGGGAGAAGGGAAAGGGAAAGGCACAGGCGAGCTCTCAGGAAAGGAGAGTGCCTACATTTTATTTTTAAGGAAATCTTTGTTTTCTTTCAGAAAATAAAAATGTAGAGACTACATAAAAGCAGAAAGAAGAAAACAAAGAATACAAATCTTATGCAGAAATACACTTTATGTATATGTGTGTGTATAATAGCCATCTTATTGTACATATTGTTTTGTAACCCCCTCTTTTTTTCTTACATTGTGAAGTTTTCCATGTGAAATAAAATTTATATCATCTATTGGGTGCTTAGTTGTGCATTGTAAGACTATAATTTAATAATCTTCATTCTGAGACAATGTTTTTATTTCACTATTATGAACAGTGTTACCAATGTTATAATGTTATAAGTATGTTAAGGTTTTGTTCTTTTTTAAAAGGTTTTGCTTTTAATACACACTATTATTTTTATTTTTCAACAGGTGTTTGCATACGATCATTGTTTCTGGTCTATGGATGAATCTGTCAGAGAAAAGTATGCAGGTAAGATCTATTAACTGCTGATAATACAGAAAAGGTGTCTTAATGGTTTTTTTTTCTATAAATTATCAGTATTATTTTGTGTAACTTTAAAAACTGTGTAGAGAATTTCCTCTAGTCTTTGCTGTTAGAGTTTTTGTATTGGTTGGGAAATGCGAGCTTCACAGTGAGCTGTTCTTGGTTTAAGGTGATCAAGTTAGATTGATAGGACACATGGTTGAGGTTATCTTACATGTATTCGAGGCCTTATGTGGCACCAGTCATACACAGTAGCCACTTAGAGTCCCTTAGATGTCTGTGATGTGGTCTAGAGAGGCAGTTTGGTGTAACGAATGCAAAGTCACGGAGAAAATGAAACCTTGAGTTTAACCCAGGTCCTACTTCTGACTGCCTCTGTGACTTTGAGTAAATCACTTACTTTCAGTGTCCTGTTTTCTGTCTCTATTGAAGAGGAATGTACAACGTTCTTTGTAAATTTGCTCTGGAATTCTGTTATTCTGTTGCTCTCTTTGATGATGACTGTCTCAAGCCCCCTTTCACCACAAGTTTAGGACTACAGTGATAGCCTTTTATTTCCTTTATTCCTAACTGCTTACCCCACCTGTTTCTAAGCAATCACTCTTAAATATTGATTGTCATATTGTATTGACTTTTATCATGAGAAACAGCAGTTATACAACTGTTTCAAAAAGTTAAGGTCAATTTGGTCTAGCTGGTCCAATGATGACTTTAAAGAATGCTTCAGTGTCGGAAGTATGTTGATGATGTACTAATCTGGAAAATTAACTAGGAAGTGAGGCATAATGGAATGCTATTTATAGCATTTAAAACATAACAAACATAACAGCATGCAGGCCTCTCATATTTAAAGTGTGTCCAGATCCCACTTCCAGTTTGTGAGGGCAGAGGTGTTTCCCCAACACCGCCACCAAACAATGCTGCAGACACCAGGTGCATGTCCTACAATTCAACTCCATTCTGACACAGTCTACCTGGAGATAGCATCAGATCCCACAGGTTAAGGGTTCACTCCTACAAGACTGCCCCCACCCCCACACCTCACTTCAGACACCAATCACAAGTCCAGGTTGTTACCTGTGCTTCTGACCAACCAGGTGTAGATTAGAGGTTCCAGTGATTCCCCTCCTTGGACCAGAAACACCAGTTGCAAGTTCAGGTTGTTACCTGTACTTCAGACCAATTGACTCCATCCTATCTAATAAAAGAGAAACATGGTAATTAGCTGTACATCTGCTACCCTTCCCATTGGCTAATCAGGGTGATATGCAAATGAATTGCCAGCCAAGATGGCGGCCGGCAGCCAAGCAGCTTAAAGTGAACAGGAGGCTTGCTTGCTCCAGTGACGGCGGACTCCAACGTTCCCCGCCTGACTTGCCGGCCTCTCAGCTGCACTCTAAGCAAACTATGTTGCAAATATAGAAGCTAAACAAAACCCCAGAAACCTGCTTTAGTCAGCTGGGCTTCAGCCAGCCGGACCGCAACATTGTATCAAATACAGAACGTAAACAAAGGCCAGAAACCTGCTTTCAGCAGCCGAGGCCTCAGAGCTAAAGCTGGCCCAGAATAAAAAAAAAAAGAAAAAAAGGAGCGGTTGGGAGCTTCAGTCACCCGCCAGCCTGAAAATGGCCCTCAGCCCCTCAGCCAGACTGGCCAGGCACCCCAGTGGGGACCCCCCCCCTGATCCAGGACACCCTTCAGGGCAAACCAGCCAGCCCATACCCATGCACCAGGCCTCTATTCTATATAGTAAAAAGGTAATATGCCTCCCGGCACCGGGATCAGCGTGACAGGGGGCA